TACGTACGGAAATTATTTCTTGCTTACGCATTTTCCACGCAAACAGTTAACTAAAGAATTACATTCCTATGTGTACACGAGGCATTCCTAATTAAAAATATAGATTTATGACTAAATAATTACTGTCCAAAATAGTGTCTTTTGACTCTGTCACACATACAGTACGTATTGTTTATCATGATAATGTCTCACCTCTCATCACTCCTACTAACACCTGAAAGGTGGGTGGTAGTAGGGTGTCTCCTGAAATTTTTCCTATTGAAAAAAATTAAAAATTATAAACTTAGTGTGTTACTTGCCAGAGCAAAAATGGTATGCCAACATTCTCTTTCCCATATTCCCCCCACCCGGCCAGCTGGGGGGTAGGGAGTATGGCTTTGGGAAAGGACATGCGTAGATGAAGGCAAGAGGTCTACTATGCACTTACTGGGTGAAGTCTGTTTCTTGGCTCTTGGAGACAAAACAGATTCCTGAGAAAGAAAGTTAAGATACACACAATAAGATTAAAAAAATAAACAAAATCAAGTACCAAGAATTACTAAATAGACATCTTTAGCTGACTTGTGCATATAATATGTTTTCCCATTTCAGATCATACGTCATTCGCTAGAGTATCATTTCTTTGTTTAATGGTTGTGCACGAGAAGACACTTGAATATGGATACAACTTAAGCAAAAAATCTTAAGAATAACACTTCTGTTCTGAAATGTGAATGAATGAAAATTATGCATTCAGCTTTTTCATCCCACATTTTGGACCAGTGATGAAAATAAAAGTGGAAACATTTGGAATACTTACTGGAACATTTTCTTTTATTGTATTTACTTCATCATTCACAAGTCCTGTTGGAGCTAAAAAAATAAATGAAAAAAAGCTACTTTATAAAATATCAAGAAAAAGATTTTGGATTTTTTAAAAATTTTATTTATTTTCATTTTATAATAACTAAGACTATGAATTATATATTTTAATACCTGAATAAGAGCACCTTAATTGGGATGAGGCTTCCCTAGTCTGTTCCACCCAAGCTTCTAAAAAAAATTATTATAATTATAATGGATCCATGCAAATGAGATGTAAATGAGACATGTACGACAAGCATTGTTTCAACCCGATAGCCTCACTTGTATGATTCTTAAACAAAAGAATATTGCATTGTGGCTCAACAATAACAGCTATTAGTAGTAGACTAATGAAAAGGCTAGTTTTCTCTTATAAACTGTGTAATGGTTGAGGAGTAACACATCACTTGAACGTTAAAATATTTTAAAATTTGGCTGCAAATGGTATGAATTAAATATGAAGTTTCCTAGATTGAAAATCATTACCTTTGAGAACCAATTTTACTTTTCTATTTTTACAAACATCGACTGGAGAATACCCCTGGTCATCTACTATCGTAACATCAGCACCACTGCTGAGAAGAGCACTAGAACACCTCTCATGTCCATGGGCTGCCTGTGCATTTTTAAAAAGTAGAAGAGTTAATTTTTACAGAATGACGTACAGATGATGATAAGGGTGGTGCTGATGGAAGTGCTTGTGGTGATGTAAATGATGTTGATAGTAATAATGATATATTATGGTGGTGTTGTTGATGATGATGATTGTGATGTTAGGGATGATGATGATGACGATGAAGGTGATGTTAGGGATGATGATGATGATGATGATGATGATGAAGGTGATGTTAGGGATGATGATAAAGTTGATGTTAGGGATGATGAAGTTGATGTTAGGGATGATGATGAAGGTGATGTTAGGGATGATGATTATGATGATGGTGATGATGATGAAGGTGATGTTAGGGATTATCAAGAAGGTGACTTTTAAATGATGATGAGCAGTAATGATTATCATTATGATGATGATGAGTAGGTTAATTAATATAATGTATAACTATGTATTCCATCAACTTACAGCTACATGCAAAGGTGTCTGGCCAAGCTGTCCCCTAGCATTCACATCAGCACCTCCATTAATCAGTGCAAGAAGAACTGGACGGTTATCATATCTTGATGCCAAGTGAATTGGATGATTGTTGGATTTATCTGACAACTCTTAAGATTTAAAAATAGACTATGTTAATTATTCTTACAAACTTACCATTAATTTTATGAAGGAGTATAAGTTCTTTAAAGCTAAAGATAGTCTGACATGAACTCTAATTAATATTGGGAGTTGTAAAAGTTTTGATGTTGTAACCCAGTAGTTACCGTGATTGTAAATGAATTTTTGTAAGCCAGTAACTACTGGTGTTGTAAAAGCTTTGATATTGTAACCCAGTAGTTACCGTGATTGTAAATGAATTTTTGTAAGCCAGTAACTACTGGTGTTGTAAAAGCCTTGATGTTGTAACCCAGTAGTTACTGTGATTGTAAATGAATTTTTCCAAGCCAGTAACTACTAGCCTTGATGTTGTAACCCAGTAGTCTGTATGAGTCTGTAAGTGGTTCACTTACCTAACTTGGAGTTGGTATCCTCAATAATCAAGTTGGCCATATCTTTTGCTTTAGGTCCCATGTTGTGTGTGATGTAATGCAGTGGACTTTTACCATCACTGGCAGTAATAGAACAGTCACTAGATGGGAAAAAAACAGTATGACTTTATATTAGGAGACATTTTTGTGATGTTTAAGCTACACATTAATATCTTAAATTCTCAGACCCTGACCCCACCTGTTCCAACTCCCCACCCCCTCATGGGGGAGGCAGACAAGTAAGAATATTTTCTGGAACTAAACTATATACAAAACTTACGCTTTGTGTTGTAATAATTCTTTGACTACTTCAAGAGGATTATATCCCTTCTCTGCTATATTCTTCTCAACTAAAACACATAGTTAAACACCAATCAGCTATAATAAATACTCAATTTTAAGGTTTTATGTTCAGTTATCAACCACAAGGCACAGTTATCAACCAATCAGAAAGAGCATATACAACGTGACTATAGAGAGGTTTTGTACCATCATGTGAAGGCAGCCATGTTGGATAGCAGGAACAATACAATGATGTTTTATATGAAAAAGAATTCAATTTCAAAGAGCAATGGAATCGTATTGTTCTGCCATCTAACCACAGGCAGTCCAAGCTGTATTATGGGTGCCAACATGTGATGGTGCAAAGTCTCTATATACTAAAATAGATATATTATATGGTAGCAGCAAGAGGGCATACTTTTTTCAAAGAGATTGACATCTCTAGTTACAAGGAGGAGTGGTGTCATTCCATCAGCATTTTTACAATTTACATCAAGACTGGCCTGTGACGACTGCAAAAAATAAAAATCATTTATCATTTATCATGATATAGTCTTTACACTATTAAAAGTGAATGGCTCTAGTCATAGTTTCCACTCACAAGTAATTGTCTAAGTATTTGTAAATTCCCTTGCCAGGCAGCTTGCAGCAAATGCCGATGAGATGTACCTAAGAAATAAAAGAGAAAATATGGTTATTATTGATATATCATCAATGATTATTAAAATCAACCTATAAATTTTAAAAGCAACTATATATCACTGATGTAAAGTCTCACCTTGCCTTTCTACAGAAGCTGAAATGAAAAAGAAAAAGGTTCACTCAGAAATAATCACCTAATATTGAGATTTGTCTGCACTTTTCTCTCACCTCTCAGGTTTGATTCCTGGACTTAGCATCACATGCGAGTAGAGTTTGTACTAGGTCTCTCCCTTGATTGGTGGGGTCTCAGGTTTGATTCCTAGACTCAGCATCACATGTGAGTAGAGTTTGTAAGGTCTCTCCCTTGATTGGTGGGGTCTCAGGTTTAATTCCTGGACTTAGCATCACATGCGAGTAGAGTTTGTTAGGTCTCTCCCTTGATTGGTGGGGTCTCAGGTTTGATTCTTGGACTTAACATCACATGTGAGTAGAGTTTGTTAGGTCTCTCCCTTGATTGGTGGGGTGTGGGTTTGATTCCTAAACTCAGCATTACATGTGAGTAGAGTTTGTTAGGTCTCTCCCTTGATTGGTGGGGTCTCAGGTGTGATTCTTGGACTTAGCATCACATGCGAGTGAATTTAAAGGCCTTTCTCATGATTCAAGGGTTTTCCCAATTCTCCAATTAATATCTTCCCTTCATAAAATTTACCCCATTAAATCAAAGGTAAATTACAGCCTGTATAAGTGGCTCTTGGGAGGGAGATTGGGGAAGAGGGAGAGAGGGAGGGTTATCCCCCTCCCCAGCCCTTATCTCCATTCCCCTCTCCCAAGTAGAGCTGCTCATGCAGGCTAATCAAATGTAATCATTACAGATCATTCATCTAAAAAGTGCCTTACCAAGCAACATTGGAATCATAGAGTCTGGAGCCAAGTCAAAAATTGACTGCCCTTGATCATTAAGTAAAGTAATATCTGCGCCATAGTTTAATAGCATCTTAACGATCTATGAAAAACATAAAACATGTGTTACTCAGTTTAGGGTCCCCCGGTTCAGCCATAGCTATTAACTCTGGTTCAGCCTATTACATCATTCTACAGAGACTGATATTTTTATGAAAGGAGCTTGTGTCACTGTTGGAGCAGAACATGTGAAATGGCTGTGAAACACCTGTGAAATTTGGGAACATGTGAAACGGAACATGTGAAATTTCATGATTGAAAGCTTAAAACACGTGAAATTTTGAAACATGTGAAATCTGACATGTGAAATTTGGGAACATGTGAAACGGAACATGTGAAATTTCATGAGTGAAAACTTTAAACATGTACATGTCGCTGACTATAAAACAAGCTAGATCAATGGCGTCCACAATTTAGGGGTATATATTAATGGTAGTGTTGTAAATTGGCCAGGATATTTTTGAGAGGGGGCTGCACTTTTTTATATATTTCCACCTAATAATAATTATATAGAGTCCCAATAGTAAATTATTACATATAAGGACATTAATATTATTCATAGTACTAATATGTCATGTCATAAACATGATGGTAGCATGTGAGTCATTCAACACCATAGCTTGTCCATGCGGCAACCATGCTCTTTTACATGCTGCAACCATGTATTTGCATCATGTGTATAACAACCTAAATGAATTCTTAATTTTCAGGCAACTACACAAAAATATTTACACCAGATATATAAGAACGAAAGGTCTTTTGCACTTCATATGCTGTTTTTAAGTACTAAAACTAAACAAAAATAATCTGATAATCTTACATTTACATGGTTTCTCGAAGCTGCAAGAACGACAGCTGTGTTTCCAGTGGTCTTGTCCTTGTAATTCAAATTCACGTTCTATAAAAATAAAGTATTAAAGATAATAATCTTGACTTTGCAGTAGGGATGAAGAAAAATCAGAAAACAATATGACGAATGATATCATAATAACAAATAACTTTATAATGATTAGTAATAACGTTATGTTATTAGCGAATGTACATTTCATAACCGAAGATTTTTATAACTCTAAACTTATTTTAGCCATATTTCTTTAATGTCTATGCTAGCTAGGTATAAATAAGTTTACTTACAGAATTTTTAGATGAACGAGCTAGAAAATTTCGTATTCTTTCTTCTTCTCCATTCTAAATAAAGAAAACAGATCAACGAGTTTATTTTAAGGCTTCACGTCGCTTTCAAATGGTACACAGTTTTGTGTAGATAATACCTTTGCAGCTTTGAGGAAAAGATTATGTAAGTATTCATTCGCTCTGCAAAAAAAAAAAAATACAAAATATACGAATTGAATGAGGTTATATTTGGAGAAAGACTGAAAATTCAATTTTCAAATAAAGTAAATAAGCAAACCTTCCGCCATTATAAAAGACTCTTGTGGATAACTCGTGGTAATGCGATAATAAATTTGGATTTCGGTACGATTTTGCTCGTACTTTTTCCCCCTTTGACTGTCTATCCTTCGCCATTTTTTAAATTACAGCTATTTTGTACAACCAAAAGAAACTTTTACCACCTCCATTAAATTAATTTGGAAAAATTATTGATCAAAATTGAGATTCAAGTGCGAAAGGGTCACTTCATGATTTAATTTATTCATGTAGGTAATACGAGTTGTATATACCCAAACTCCATGGCAACACCCAATTAGAGATGCCCATTGGGAATAGGGACCACTACGTCATCTTGCCGCCAAATTTACGGTTCTTGCGTGTTATACTTTTAGGATACGTGATTATGATAAAATAAAACTGTTTTGTCCCGCACTTTTGAAAGCATTGTTTCACTTATGATTAGTTTGTAGTATTTTGACTTTAACGCGTCTACCAGACATGGACACAAGTTTACTAGCCCGCGTTCATTATACCGGCTGAACGCAGGCTAAACTTTACCGAATAGACTGTAAAATTTCGTTAAGTTTGATAGTTTTCTCCCATACATTTACATCTTTGTCTCACTAGCCTTGGCTATTTCTTGAAAAGTGTCATGTCTTTAGGTAAAAAATAGAAAAGCTAAATCACTGAAAGTTCATAAAACTCATGAACACGTTAAAGGTTTGGATGAATATTGAAATCAGCCAAAAATTCATTACTTCTGAATAGTTGCACCCCAAAAAAAATACAATTTGAACAAAATAAACAATTTTTTTTTAAATCTACATTTTATAAACTAGCTCTGAATAAGGAAATTCACGGTGAAAGAAAAATAAAACACATTCAGTTCAAAATCACGCACAACACATTGTTTTAGTGAACTATTATTTTGTTAACTTTGTTAATAATTTTGACGAATTCTTTTCCTTTTCTAGAGTATTAATAAACATTGACTTACCTTTTGCTTTCGTATTTAACTCTTGGAGTAGCATGTTCAATAGTAAAGTAAGGCATATTGAATCAATACTGATACAAGTTTGTGACCTTCCCTCGTAGTAGCTTCCAATTTTCGTAAGTTATTTTGCAACACAGGCGAAGCGGCTTCTCACAAGAAGTGAGTTCATAAGAGTGCATAGAGAGTATACTGACCAAAACGTTTCGTGTACTGAACTAATAAAAATGTGTGCACGTCCCATGTCTTTTATAACAAGTCTTGCGTGTTTCTCGTTCTAATAGTTTCATCGATTTATTCTCACTTTTAAGAGTGTTGCATTGTCTTCCTTAATTCCTTTATTGTTGAGGACTAACATCCCATCCACGAAACGTGTTGCCTTGATTCACATGACCACAAGTTATATTGTTCGAGTTGAAAAATCTAGAATTTCTTTATAGTCAGTGGATTTGTATTACGGTCACCAAAAAGTTCGGAGAAAATTTAGGTAGATTTCTTTAGCTAGCTACTCTAGATCTTTATAAAACAACCGGGAAATCTAAAAATAATTGCAAGATTTGACACCACACTTCAAAATAAAAGGACGGTATAAAAGTCACAGGAAGCCTAACCAGGGAAATCGCCATAGGAATCCTTTACCATCCTTTACATCCCTAGCCATCCTTTAACATCCTTAGCCATCCCTAGCCATCCTTTACCATCCCTAGCCATCCACAGCTACTTACTTGGCTACAGGAATTAGCCGTTAAAATCGCCACAGGAAGCCCATCCCAGTTTTGAAGAGCATATTCGAGCAATCTCAAATTTAGAGATGCCTTGCACATGCAATAACAATACCATAGTTAATTACCTTATGAAGAGAAGGATGGCAAGCCAATGGTGTTACTGTACGAGTACGTACCCTTCAAGAATTAAAAAAAGGTTAATTTCATGACATGTGTATATGATTCTAAATAATCAACCCTTGCTTTAATTTCGAGGCCTGCTATTAAGTCTTGTTTCAACTTCAGAAATTTTGGATTTAAAACTTTTAATCCATTCAGGCTGACTTTGGCAATCAATCGTTTGAGAGGTGTGATATTACATTATCATCGAAATCCTCAATACAAAACAGAAAAAATTAAATAGCTTATTTTTAACACTTCCCTGCTTTATTTGCAAGCAAAAGTTTAGATGAAAGACCTTTCTCATAAATACATTTTAATTATTATTTCTAGTTAATTTGATTTCTTTTTTGTATTTTTGGTGACAGTTATTTGTTTGTATTGACAAGAGATTAAGATTAAGATTAATTAATTAATTAAGATTAATTAAGATTGAATGGATTTAATTTTTTTAACAATACTCTAGATTTAAAATCTAGGCTTTTGAAAAGTTTTGACTTAACACTAATCACTATTATCAACACTAAGCACCCAGTAATGTAAAAAATAAATGTAGTAAAATCCCACAAAAAGAAGAATATTTTATCAACTAGTGACTATAAACCAGCAGTGAATTCTAAATTTTAGTTTTTGTAGAAGATTGCAGTCTTTTTTGTTTCTTCCTCAACAGCTTTGTCAATACTTTTGTTTGTACTGTTGTCTGCTTTTTCAAAGTGGCAATTTCTTCTTGCAATAGTCTATTATGTTTAATGATTTCATTAGTTTTCTGTACCAATTGTTGTAGGTCATTCACAGAACAACTATGGTCATCATCACTGTTTTGACTTGTAGATGGCTCACTTGATGTCTTGGATGTTTCCGATGAATACATTAGGTGCAATTGAATAAAATCTTCAACTGAGTGAATTTCCTTGTCATCTTCAACAGCTTTTCTGTCAACTTCTGAAGCAAGCTCACATTCATCAACCCCTTCTTTATTAAAGGTTTGAATCCAATCCTCGTCATCGCTTAATGAGAGGCACACAGCTTCTGAGTTGGCCATAGTGCAAGCCATCCTGTAAGGTTCTTCAACTCTTGAACTCTCTTCCCTGCTTGTAAAATCAAAATTACAGCTTGTACTTGTACTGGTTGAAAACTGGAGGCCATCTTGTTTAGGTTTGGGTTTTGGAGCAGCAATGGTGTCAGCTGATGAAATAAAGTTCTCAATTACTCTGTCCCCCATTCTGGATCGCCCCCCAATAAGACCTGAGGACTGGTTTGGCGGTAGAGAGAGATTCCTTGACACTTGTGTTGGAGAGAGAAGGATGTGGTTATAGACATTGTGGGACATGGCTTCAGGTCCAAGAAGGTTGACCATGGATGCCTTTGGATCTGCCACAGCTTTACAGTCTGCCATATCTAGAACGTCTATTTGATTAACAACTTATTAGCAAAGATTTACTAACTTAATCGAGTGGCAGAGGTGGGAGGTGGGAAATGGTGAGAAGAGGAGGCGGTTTTATGATACTTGGTTGACAGAGGTCTATAGAAAATTTACCAAATGCACCAGGTGGCCTTACAATTATTTCAAAAAAGGTTTGTGAAGGTTTTTCACCAATGCACTTATTTCGATTCGTAGAGGCTTCGACCTTGTGCCAATACTCACCTCTAAAAGTCCCAAAAAACTAAAAATTCTTAATAAAAGGTATATATATGTGTGTGTGTGTGTTTAAATGCAGTCTGTCCTTGTCTGCCCGGGCGAAAGTGTTATTTTGTTTTCCCAAGTCATAATCAACCCGGTATCACTATCGAAAGATAATCAAGATATCAAGAAAGTTATAGTTTTTTTGAAAAAAGTTTTTATATGGACGCGATCAAAAGAAAACTATCTTAAAAAACAAGATATTTCTTACCGGTTTTGATATTCTTGGCCTTGAAGACAGTCGAAATAGGTTTGTTTTATTACGGATCTAATATTTAATGGCGGATCTGGAGGATATAAACAACAGCGCACGTGCACAGTCATGACGTCATTCGCGTGCCAAGTCCCTTGAACACACGTGCAAGGAGACTGTGAAAGGATGTTGCAACGTGACTCGGAAAAAATAAAATYTTAAAAAATTGTGGCCTTGCAAAGTTTTCTAAACAATTTAGATTAACTTCTTAACATATTACGAAAGTATTTATCGAATATTTAGGCTATCTTCTGAATATTTTCTTCCTTTAAATTTTAGCAGATTCAAACCACAGGAAGCCCGAAATGAGAGACCTATTTTCATTGTTGATTGTGTTTTGTCCAAGATAAAGTTTCTGAAGACTTTTTGATCGTGTTTAATTGATAAAATTTATTTATTTTGATAACTTCGACGAACTGGGATCCTCTTTTCAAATAACCAATCACATGTAGAATGAAAGCTGGAGCCAATCAGAAAACTGAAGTGCAAACGAAGCTGATGACGTCAGATAATCACAAGATGCATTTCTAATTTAATTTCCACACCTCGTTGCTTGCTCCTGATTGGCTAATGCTGGACGGTAACTATTTCCCCTTTTCTTACTTGGGAATTGTCATCAATTCTTTTTTTCCAGTTGCAAACTTGATGTAAATTCATCTTCAAATTTTCAGCAAACTTTGAAGATTACACTAAAACGCTTTAGAAGAAGATTTTCACTTTGGAGAATTTCCCCAAAATATAAGTTAAAATATTAAGTTGTTTTAATGTGGATTTGTTTTTCCATCACCTTATCACTGGAAAACAAACACTGATGGCATGATTCCATTGTGCTTTGTTTCTTGTGATATGACGTAATTCATAAGACTAATTAATTCAGTTCTAACTAAAATCAGCGAATGACCAAGGGGGGATCCAGTTGAAATTTTAGGGAGGGAGGGGAGCTAATTGAGTTTAGGGGGGGGGGGTCTAATTTGAGTTTCTTCCTTCAAAACAATAAAAAAGCATCTAATTCTTCAGTTATGTTTTTTATTTATTTTTATTATATATTTTTTTTCGTAGGATCTTCGGACTCCAAAAGTGGGACAACCACTGCTGCTCCAAGAGGTGAGAGTCTGAAGAAGAAAGAGCATAGAAGTCCTCTCCCCGGACGACCGCCATATTGAATTGGAGTCGGCCGAGAAGGCCCTGGGTACGAGGTTTAAAAAAACGTCTCGGGAAATTTTTCCTTTTATATTTGAGTGTTTACATTGATTATATTGAGCATTTACAGCCTCTAAAAATCAGTGATGACAATAAAAAAAATCAATAATTGTTTGCAAAGTTTTCTGATAAGAATATGTTTTTCTATCTTTTTTCTAGACACTTTGCAAACCAAAGATGCCACAGCTACTCCAGCACCTCAAAGAACATTGCGGGGTAAATTTTCTATTTAAATATATATATTTTTGTTTGTTTGTTTGTTTGTTTGTTTCAACAATTACAAAAATTCGGCGTTATTTTGTATAATTCGTTTTTATATTCAGTCATATTTGGGTGGCGAATTATCATTAAAACTGTCGTTTGAAATGTTAGAAAACACTCGGCATGAGTCGAATTATCTTTTGTTAAAAGAATTGAAAGAAAACGGAAAGGCTAAATTATCATTGAAATGCTTTAGTTCAAGCAACTAAACTAATCTCAAGTTTGCAAGTTGAAATCATTGAGAACTCATCATGGAGGTGTTGTTCGTAAATGAAACCGGAGCTCGAAATAAACGGGAATTGTAAGGCTTAAAACTTCTTTAGAATAAGAATCACTTGTTTTTGAATAAAAGAAATTACCAAGAGTTCGACAGGTGTGATGACTAAGCGAGATACGAAATTAATATTAACAGACAATAAGAAAAGCTTGTGAGCTATAGCTAAAATTAATAAATTCAAATAATCTTATTCAGCTCATAGCGGTTACAGTCATGAATTTCAAAGCAAATCTCGTAATTGATGTTTTCAAATTTTTCAATTAGCTCTGGCGTCGTCATGGAGACGAAAATTTGGCTTTGCGCACTAATATAACGTTTTACCGACTTGCCCTCATCCTTAGCGTGAATCGTGACGTAGCCTTTGCACATGATCACAATACAAGAAGCCAGAATCATTTCGAAGTCTTTGACTCGTTAAAGGCTTATTGTTTTGGAAGTAAAGTATGACTTTCTCGTTTCGACGACTTTTCTTCGTTTTCGCCTTTTCATTTCTCTTAATTTTGGTCACAGGTAAGCGTTTTAAAAAATATATTTTCATAATTACACAGATATATTGTAAGAATCTTCGGTGGACGATGTATGTGTTTTTGTAAGTGTTTTGCCAACAGATGGAAGTACCAATGATATATGAATAGCAAGAATAAGACTAACGATGTCTGAGAACATGAATATTATACTTTTTACATTTTACTTGAAATTATTATTTACCTCAATACAAAAAAAATGGGAGAAAATATTAGCATGACATTTAATCTTTCGAAAAAGGATTACTTCAAGGTATAGTCATGGCCCAAAATAAAGTTTTTAAAGTTATAAATAAATGATGAGAAACTAAAAAGAGTTTATAGTACACAAATGTAAATTATTTCGATCGCTATTCAAAGCCGGAGTCCTTGATATCAGTGTAATTGTGCTTGGGGCACTAGAAATTGTCAGTATTCGCGTCTAAAAAATGAAAAATCGTAACTGAAATTTTTCAGTCTCTTGATTAGGAGTCGTAGACATTGCTAGTTTAATGAAACAGTGTTATTTTTCGCACTACGGCGTTATTTTTTCCTATTTTCCGTGTGCAAACAGAGGACACTTTTCTCACTGTTTACTCTCCTGACATTGTTACTCCGTTTATTATATTCTGATATAGAAGTATAGTTTGTGAACTAGTTTTTCGATATTTTTTACCTTTCTCCTAGACTCAATACTAATTCTCGTTCATAAATATTTTCGCAAATTATTTGTGGTTAAAAGAAAATGCGTTTTCAAAGCGAGTCTTTTGAAAAAGAAAATTAAAGTTGCAACCAAATCTTCTATAATGGTCGTTAACTGAAATATTTCTTTCTTTAAATGTTACCACGCGCGTTAATACTCAGAAGCGATAAAAAGATTTTTGAACACTACTAAAAAATAGCCAAATATTTGGTATTTTTTAATACGTTAAGAAATAAAATAGTTTGTGTTTATTATTCACAGTATATTGATTAAGAAAATAAATAAAAAATACTAAATGGTACCAAAAAATAAGTAAATAGAGAATAGGAGAAGCTTCAGACTCGCATAAAGACTCAACCATATTAAAATGTCACTAAAAGATAAAGTATTGTGAATGATCAACTTATTTTTATGAAGCATAGATGTTTATCCCTTCAGGATTTGAATCCTGATTTGATAAAGAGTATAGCCTAACCGCTTACTGGAGATTTTTTATTGTTAATTAAGAACAATATCCCCGACGTTTTACACGCGTTTAGATCTGTCCGCAAAATAAGACTGATAAATGACCTTAAATTGAATAGGACAAGGAGCCAAGTGATTGGAAAATTACAACTCGAAAAATGCAAAGTTTGCTGTCAATTTGAAATGATTGAATCTGATGTTTTCTATCTAACCGGTTGTAGTGTTTTTATTATTTCTTTTCGTATAAAATTTTCCTTGACTTTATCGAAACTAAAATATTTCAAGAGTCAATATGTTCCTTCGTAAGATAAAAAGATTGTCAAACGTTAATGAATATTAACCTAAAATTTTTAATTACTGTGCGCTTTTTGACAAATTCGTATGTGTAGAGATCATGATCGCTTTGCCAGCTTTCATAAATGGTTTGCGGGCTGTAAACCAATCAAAATCGGGAATTGAAACCCATCAACCAATCATGTGCGTTTATCAGAACCATGATAGCTTTACTGGATTTTAAATGTTTCCGTGCTCTAAGCCAACTAGACGCATATCTGCGAGAACTCGGGCTTCATAGCAGAAAATCGAAAGAATTCTTCGTGAACACTGTCATCCTTCTGACGAAACCTTGAAAAATTCCGCCATTACTCGACCATGTGCTTATGTGGCGCATACTACGCACGCGTATAGAACTTGCGCATGCGCTTTGAACGCAACTGCGAGCGATTTGTGACAGAACGCAAATAAAGCCCAATTTATACCTCGGGCATTTCTTCGAAAGCCCGAGTAATTAAAAAGAACTGAGACTCACCAACCATTCCCTTGAGTACTATTTCTTTTATGGAGATTTTTACTTTGAGCGGTATGTTTTGCCATTCAGACCACATGTCATTTCCTCGAGTATTATTTCCTCATTGAACCGAAGAAAAGGAAATTCCTTTTTTTGTCCCAGAAATATTTAATTTATGCAGTATCTAAACTGAATCTTTTTCTATTTCAGTTACACCAGCTGCTCCTGTTCGGCCCGGCGATGACGAGTAAGTACCACGCTATTGACGACTGCATGTCATTTTTACTTTTTCAAATACTTTTTTTTTAATTGACACATGTTAATGTATTTACACAGATTAACTGATTAAAACCTATTTTTCATCAGAGCAAAAACAAAAAAGTTCAATTCTCAGAAAGACGATGGTCCAATTCTCATGACGAGGGATGAAATCAGTAAAGTGGCTGGAGAAGCTCTGGCAAATGCCACCGTAAGTTGAATTGCGTGACATAAAAAAGTAATGTTGGTCGTTGACACCCGGAAGTAACAGAAGACAAAAGCGTTACACACCCCTGGCTCTGTACTGGATCTTAGTCGAAGTGTAACATATCCGGTCAAAAGCGTGAAACGAAGTATATAGAATGTGTGACAGACCTAGTAAAACCATGACAACCTAATGGGCATGCCCTACACAGGAAACGCAGTTACAGCTAGATATCGAAAGCCGTGACAAGTTTGTCACAATCAAATAGCAGAGCGTGACAGAAGTAAAAATGTTCTTTCTTTTTTTTTTTTTGTTGCCAGGCAAAAAAATTGAATATTCTTAACGACACTCAGCTTGAAGGTGTTGGCGAAAGTTTGGCAAGAAGCAAAAACTCTACTGCTGTGGTCGCTGTGATGAGAAAACTGACAAAAGTTAAGGCGTTAAAACTGGTAGCAAAAATGGCGGTAAGTCCAATGACCTGTGGAAAAGAAATACTCTCTGGGCTGATCAGAGAATGGAAGAGCTAGCTCACAGATTGTGTTGCACCCTAAAACAACTCTCTGGGCTTATCAGAGGTGACAGGGCAGGGCTTGCAGATCGAACTGGCATTGAGCATGTTACGTTCGGTTTTGCTGCGGGAGAAAAACGGAAAACCTGAGAATAAGTGAGAAAAAGTTTTTAAACTTTCTTTTTCTTAGTGGTTTAAAACCATAGAGGTGAGAGGAGAGTGCATTACTGTTACGTCATCAATGATTTGGCCATTACTAATAATAATACTCAAGAAAATGACACGTGGTCCTTGTTTTTCCAGAATTCATTAAAAAAGTTGTCAAGACGAATCCAAGCAAATCTCATGAAGGAAATCAAGAAAAAGTTTGGTGATGATTTGTCAACCATTTCCAAAGACGACATCAAGCGCCTTGGTCCTAAAGTACTTCAACAAGTCAGTAAAGATGACATCAAGAAGCTGATTAAAAAGAGGGACGCCTTTGATGCCCTGTAAGTGTTTGCGCAGTCATGTGGCATGACATTAGCAGTGACCAGGGGTTGATCCTGGATAATTTTCGGGGGGGGGGAGGGTGCACCCTTTGCTTACAAACTCGAACACCAATAAAGCAGTAGATATCAGCTCATTTAGAGGGGCTGCGCTCCCCTGCAACCCTCCCCTAGATCCGCCCCTGGTGGCTAGTAACGAATTAATCGGTGACCCTAGTTTCCAAGATCGTAATAGAATTCAAAAGTTGATTTTTGTAGATGGAGAAAAACCGGAGGAAACCCCCGAAGCGCATGAGGATCGAGCCCATGATCACAGTAGTGCGTGAGAGAAAAACCCGGAGAACTCGGAAACAACCCTCGTAGCGGCATGAAGGAACTGATAAAATCACTATAGAACTAAGGTCCCCTTCACAGTTCCCTACACCATCTTGAAAAGTAGCCGTGCATGCCTTTACATCGAAGCCAAACGAACGGTGACCTTGCAATGATAGACCTTGTCTCTATCATTGCAAGCTCGTCGTTCGTCTCGCTTCGATTTAAAGGCACGGCCAACTTTCAAGATGGCGCAGGGAACTATGAAAGGGACTATACTATAAAGAAAATTGTTGTCAACCCTTTGCAAATGTTTCTTTTAGCTCGGAAGAACTTGCAAAAAGTCAAGACTTACGAGACAGCAAGAGGAAGGCTATTGCTGAAGGCGCCAAAACACTCCATGGAAATCCAAACACCTGGGACAAAGACATCGTCGGCAAATATGGTGGATTTGCTCGTCCAGCTGATTTGGACAAAATAAGCCCAAACGCGGTAAGTACATTAAATAGAAGTTCTAACTCGTATAATACCCTTATGGCATGTGACGTCAAAGCAGCCAAATTTGGAGGACAAAACAAAATAATTTCAATCTCTTGGGAATTGGAAACCTCCATGTTCTGCATTCCGATGTGCTGCAAATGGTCATATAACTTATATCCCGGGCAATAATGGTTTCTATGGTTACATTTTTCAGATTAAGGGCGCTCTAGACCAATTAGCAAAAAATATGGGAATTAAAAGGGTTAATGCTCGAAAGATCTTGTCTAAGCTTGGAGAAAGTAATGGTCTTGGAAGACCGGGAAACTGGAATGCCACGACTTTGAAACGGTAAGTTAGTGATTAGTCTCCCTCGCAGCCGCTCTTAGTTTCGTCACGCAACGCTCACTCCCTTTGCGTGACGACACTGCAGGGGAGACTAGCTAGGGCTTTGTATGCTGTGACGCAGAAAATCTCAATATGCATATTCGAATATCAAAGTCATAGCTATAGATTAATTAATAGAAATATTCCAGTGGAAAAATCGGTTTAGTGTATTGGATTTGATTGGACATTTACACTAACAGGCAATGTAATAATAAATAATAATTTATTAACTTATATTGCGCAAGAATCAACATTGCTGTTTCCTAATGCGCATTACAATCTAGTGTCCCCTGTTGCAAGTCGTCCATGAAATCAAAAATCGACAATCGGAAGTTTGGTAGTAAAATGCAGAGAAGCAATTAAATACCGCAGTCCTGTTCCTAGTTCATCTAGCTTATGTCAAACGTTGAACTTCACATGAGACGAACCTAATGACATCAAAGAAGATCGCTTTGTTATCCATTGTTTCAATAAAATTCGGCCCATGTAAAGTTCAACGTTCAACGTCAGCCTTAGCAATTCCGTGCTGGAAATCGGATTTCAAACGATTAATTGATTAATTAAATGTCGTCCTTTATTCTGCTGCCAGACTCGGGGGACTAGCAAAGGCTCTCAAACCGTCTCACATTAAAGAGATGGACCCGACTGCTCTCAAGGATTCTTTAGCAGTGTTAGGAAAACTGGATCTCTCGAAATCCCAGGTAAATGCAAGGGACAGTAATACTGATTCCTAAATAAATAGACTTTTTTAGCTTTGTTGTTTGTTGTGCCACTCTTGGTTGACTCTTTCACGGGAATATATTTTAACATTTTCGTCTTGAAAAAAAATTTTTTTCAAGGAAATGTCATGTGATCTGAAATGAGCATCACATGCATGTATGAATGACATCATCAACGTATGACGTCATAAACATATATGATGTTAATATATCACGTCATTTCTAATGCATATGTAGTCATATATTTTGCTTTGTTCCCCCCCCCCCCCCCCCCAACCCCAATAAAAACGTGCCTTCCCTTGCAAGGTTTAAATTTCAAAACTTCAAAATTATTGACAGGCTAGAGCAGTGATAGAGAAAATTGTCGCATCTAAGCCAGCTAATCAATGGTTAAGCGACGATCTGAAGAAAGCAGGAAAGCTGATAATAGGATTTAGCAGGGGTAACTTGACGAAACTGTCGAGGGCTGTAATCAATGAATCACTTCGAGAGCTGGGTTCAGTTAGCCGTGAATTGACTACAGAACAGGTAAAAACTTATTTAGGAACCGTTTCTAGTTTTTTAAGAGGGAGGGGTGGGAAGAAAAAGTAAGCTAACACAGTTTTCTCGACTCCCCCTCTCCCTCCAATCTTGAAGAAAATTTAGGTTCATGTCAAACGTAGAACTTCACATGAGCCGAACCTAATGATATCAAAGAAGACCGTCTCGTTATCCATTGTTTTAATAAGGTTCGGCTCATGTGAAGTTCGACGTTTGACAGGAGCCTTCAAATCTTAAATCTTCGCTCCTTGTAATTCAGGGAACCCTAAAGTAAATCAATGGCAAAACATTCTATTCACTCTGCCTTCTTCTATGAATAATAAAGCACGAAATTTGATGCATGAACGCTACTAAATTTTGATTCGATTATAGCGGAACAAGGGCCACAGGATAGCTTGTTAGCACCTGCCTGTTGAGTTCTACCCTCGTAAAAAAGATACAAGAAAGAACGGGAAGACTGCTGTGTTTCCTTGCCCGTTTCATCACCTTGATTTTAATTAACTTCTGTTTTCGTTGATTTCTTTTCAGAAAAGAGAAATTGCCAAGAAAATCGATAAAGTAAGTAAGATAAAGTAACGTGAGCATTTACTAAATTGTTCACAGGTTTTGGGCTGGTAAGAATATCATTATTCTCTCGTGTTTTCGCAGTTTTCCTTGGGCTTGCTGTGGTAATAATGGCAAGGACAATTATAGATAGCTAGATAAAGTTCGTTTTGAAAATTTTGACAAATTTCCAAGTGCAAATGGCCTATTTTCGTAAACGTTGATCATTGTATATCCCACAATGCACTACGTTCGACAGCATACCACTCTTGGCCCCATAGCTGAGCTATTCTTACTGCGCATGCTCGATGAAATGAGCATGCGCAGTAATAATGACTTTATTATGGAGTAAGAGTAGTATCGTGTACGTCATTGCCACAGGAAGCTCAAAATAGCTGAAAGGATAGTATGCTCACATGTATATCCTCGATACTTTCTATACATTGTCTCACGTCTGTATGTTAATTAATATATTTTGCTCCCAGCCCTCAGTGTGGACTAACCGAGGGGCGAAAAAAATTTCTAACCTGTGCTACGGAAAATCGAGCAAAGAACTCAAGAACATTGGTGCTTACGTTGCAAAGGAGCTTGTTGCAGCCATGACTCCTGAAAGACACGCACCAGAGGCCAAAAACAGGGTGTTGAAGAAGAAGGTACTATAAAATGATTGACCTGCTTACATGTCATTCTCAATAGCACCCGCGGTCAATCCGATTTGCTGTCACGACAAAATCAAAGTGTATTCTGAGAACATAAAAGCTTCCAAGGGCTTGTGCCTATGAAATTGTAAAGTACAGCACAAACGAACAAACGAACAAACGAACAAACGAACAAACGAACAAACGAACAAAAGAACAAACGGCAAGCCATACTAGAGTCTGCACAACTGATCTTCTCGTCCCTAACGCTTTCAATACTCTGCTTCTATCCTTTTCAATTCTTTGCATCCTGATCTAAATCAAACTTTGTCATCCTCTCGACCTACCAATGTTTTTGTTCCTTGGAGTATAGACTCATTGATTTATGAAGTACATCTATTGTGTTTAGATTTTCAGCACTGGAAATGTCAATCTAACGATAACAGGAGCAGTCATTAGTTCGATGACCTTGAATGATCTTAAAAACGCTAATCCTAAAAGGGAATTGGGACTAGACCAGCCAGACCAGCCTGCAGAAGAAAAAAAGGATCTGCCTTGGAATCCGGCGCTTGTCAGACAGCTGATTGACAACTTCAAAGAACAAGAGGGACAGCCTGACACATGGACGGAGAAAGTAGTTTCGTAAGCATGTTGTCCTTTTTCTTTTCCTAACAAACTTTTTCCCTTGTGCTTTCTGCTTGTCCTTGTCCTCGTCCTTGACCATCTTGTATTTATTTTTGTTTCTTCTTTTAATTTATGAAAGATTTGTCGTTTTCCTCAGATTCCTCGTAAGCCGTGGGTTGCTAACAGGATGTTCAACAGAGGATATTTCCAAAATAAGACACCTTCCCTTGGAAGACCTTGCGGATGTCAGCGATAGATTGCTTCCGGCACAGGTAAATGACCTTGAATGTGTATTTGAAATAGAGAGGAGAGAGAGGAGAGGAGAGGAGAGGAGAGGAGAGGAGAGGAGAGGAGAGGANAAGGAAAGGAGAGGAGAGGAGAGGAGAGGAGAGGAGACGGGACGGGACGGGACGGGACGGAACAAAGAATGCTAAAAAAAGGCATTGGGAACGGAAGAGGATTTGAAAGAAGGAGGAGAGAATGTGGGAAACGAGTATACATATTTGAAACAGGAAAAATCATGGTAGTTTTTAATCGAATACTTCGTGTTATTAAAAGAGACAAGCTGTCATGAAAAAGTTTAAAGAAGACAAAGAAATAAAGACTCCCACAGATTGTTCCAAACTTACTCGACCAGACATTGAAGCCTTGGGTGTCCTTGCGGGTGACTTCTCCAACGAAGAGCTTGAAAATTTGCAGCAAGATGCCGCTCTAGATGCAGTCAGCAAGATTGGTGAAGACACGAAGCTTGGTAAAAAACCACGAGAATTAATTAGAAGAACCCTAGATATTGCGTTGAAAAAATTGGTAAGAGATGTGATGTTTCACTGTGAAATTCCTCGTAATTTTTTATTTTTTATATTTTTAGTTGCATTTGAGTTATACTGAAGAGATAAAATACAAGTTGTCTGCGTGTATTTACTTAATTCTTTCTTCCATTTTTTCTATTTTCATTCATTTTTTCAATGTTCATTTTCAAAAGGGGAGAGGATCGATTGAAGAAGTCATTGAGGACGACATCCTAGTCCTTGGCAACTTGGTCTGTGGGCTGAGTCCTGAACAAATCGCAAAGATTCCGATGGCGACCTTCAACGCGACAAAATATAATATTGGTGAAAGGACGTGCTTCAGTTCAGAACAGCTCAAGACTCTAGCAAAAAAAGCCAAAGAATCCATTGAGTATGTTAAGACTAGGAATCCTTGTCGTATTTAATCTTATTCTTGAGCCTACGGTACTTTGTCTGCGTGAAGAATCCAGCAAACACTGTTTTCTGATTGGCTAAAAACAACAACGATCAAAATTGTTCAGGAAACTAATTTTCTAGTTTTTGGATTTAAGCTTGTAAATTTGTCTTGCAGCCCACGATCGATGTAGTCACTGATTTTCTGTAGATGCGCAAAACGCTTGACTTATTTTCCAGGCGACATCTTTGCACTGATGTGTCTAGGATTTCCCATGGTGTGTGTTCAGTTGCATTCCCCACTAACCATACCCTTCCTTTCCCTAACGTGTAAGTCAGAGGCTGACCACAGGCACACAAGTACCCAGTTTTATACCGATTGCTTACCTTTGATTGTATTTCATTCAGAGTCGACAAAATGACAAGTGATGATGTTCTTGATCTGGGTACCATCGTTGAGGGGTTAACAGCTGATGATCTTAGGAAAATGAGAGACGTAAGTTGATATAACAGATTCACTAAGGGATGGTACGTCACACTAACTTAATTTAAGGTTTTAGTTTTTGTTATGAGTATCAACCGTTTTGGTGTTGCAGGACTTTTTTATTTCGTTCTATTGGGAATAGATGAAAACCACGTACATATCAGTGAGTAAGGGGATTTTTGGCCATGGATAAGTTACCACTGATTGTTGGGAGGGGGGAGAGCAGGAGCTAGTGCAGTCTGAGAGGGAAGATCACAAAAATTAAAACAAATGAAAAGGAGACCAGATTGATTAACACAGAAAAAAATGCATATACGAGTGGATTGAAGAATGCAAGGAAAGATTTAACGTAAAAAAGCGGACACATTTTCCACTAGTCATCCCTTTACCTTGGTTAATAACCGTTCCTTCCGTATTTCATTATTGCTATAGACCGTTGTCCAGGAGATCAAAGATGCTTTTGGAAACTTTAAACTCTCATCTGAGAAAGCAAAGGTGCTAATGGAAAAGCTTGCCAAGCGAGTTACGAGACGGAGACGAAATACTGGTAAGAAACAGGAACGTAAAAGCCAGGGAGGCTAGGGGGTCTATAGCCCCCACACTTAAAAAAAATGGTTTTTCAAATTTACTGTTTGTAATAATGCTAAGATACTGACAATTATAAAACTAAGTTCTTATATTCAAAAATAACGACAATTTAGCAGAAGTAGCTATAGCATTTCCTATGCTAGCGTATAGCAATCAAATCAAATTTGCTAAACAACCTACAACGGAATGTAATGCTAGTTGGGTGCTGGAAAGTGGGCCAAATTGGAAAATAGTATCTATTTTTCATTTTCATGCCGAGTATAATGGAAAAAAATTAATGTTAATCTCTAAAGATGTGTCAACCAAGAATGGGCAGGAGCTCGTTGCTATGGGCAACATGCTCTTGGGATTAACATCATCAGATATCGCAACGGTTAACATTGTAGCCTTCGATGACGCAGTGAGCACTATTGGAAAGATTGATGGATTCTCACGAGAGCAATTAGAGGCTTGGGCAGATAAAGCTAAAAAGGTACATACGTTACAGTCACACAACACTTCATGTCACACAACACACTGATACATCTCACAGTCACACATCGATTCCTGGCATACCTTACTGTCACATCTCAAATTCAAGCATCACTACCTGCCATACATTACTACCCAATCAAATTTCACACTTCACTGTCACATTATACGAGTTATTCCACACACGTGACGTCGCACAGAAGTAGCACTTTAGTAGTTATCAGAGATTTTTATTTTTCTCCCTCCTTATCAAAACCACAAAATGATAAAAAACTCCACGTTACCTTTACTAACCAGGCGTGGAACAGCGATGTTGCGAAGTTCAAAGAAGATCAGCTTCTAAGGCTCGGTGCAATAGCCATTGGGTTTACTGACAGTGAATTAGAGAAGATGGCCCTCTCTTCAGACGACGTCATTGAGAGTCTAGGTTCACAGAACGTGAAGTCCGCAGAGGCTCATGGGTACACTCTAAGCCAGGTATACGTTGCATTGAACATTTTACTAAAAGTTATGAAATAATGTAGCATAATCAAGTTTAAAATGGGAAAAGCACTCAAAAAGAAGTGGAGAAACTGCTAAATAAGTACTAGTGGCAACAATGATGACTGAAAAAATAGTGTTAACACTCGAAGTCACGGAATTTCTTACGGTAAAAAGTTGAATTAAACTGCGTAAGAAAAAGGAAAACCGGTATCTAGGTATCACACTTCTTCATTAACGACTTTTATGAAGGAAAAAAATGATAAGCTTGTTTCTCATGGAAAGTCCTTGGACAAGCAAATATTTGGACAACCAAGATGGCGGACTTCAGCAATCCTGTCGACCCACAATTCCATGCGGGATTTTGATTAAAATTCGTTACCAGTCTTCCTTGGAAGTTTTCAAGATTAGTTCTCTTCATCAGTAATATTACATTAATAAAAGTAGTAACCAGTAAAATTGATGATCGAAATAATAATCTTAATGTTTATTTGCAGTTGAGCAAGGCATTGAATGGAATAAAAACTTTAAAAAGGAAAAGCATCGATAAATTTACTGGAGCCGAAATTTCAAACCTCAATAATTTTTCCCTCGCATTGACGGTGGAAGAAATCGGCTCTATTCCCAAGGAGACGTTTATGTAAGTTTTCCTATACGATAAGGGTCCATTTCTAATTCACCAGTGGTTTACGTTCTTTAATAAATCAGTTTATTTGCTAATTTACTGAAATATTTTGAAAATCCCAAAACCCTACGATCTCATCAAACCACTCTATTATCAAGACCCCTTTTAAAAAGTCTCATTTCCTGGTTGCATTTCTTGATATTCTTTATCTTTCTTTTCTTTTTCTCCTTTCTCTCTCTCTTTTTATTTTTCACCATAGAAATTGCATTGGTTCTTTGGGTAAGACAAATGGCTGGTCCGCTGACCAGATGAATAAGCTTAAGGAAAAGGCCGTAGAGGCTCATGGTCCTGTGAGTGGATGGTCTCCAGCCAAGCTCAGCGAATCTGGCAGGACTATTGGTAGGTTATTTTAACTATTAACCAATCAAAGTTGCGAGAAATTACGTGGTTAAATTTTCTATCAGCGGTCATATTTCCTTGCTCGTGCCTCGCATGGCACTGTGAGAATAAATGCAGAAAACCAAGATGGCGGAAATTTGTCTCTCTTGCAAAAAAGCAAATTCGTAAACAACTTCTTTATGAACTTTATGGAAATATAGACCTTTTTAGCTTCGTTGTTTGTTGTGCACATTTCAGACCATGTGGTACCACTCTTGGGATTTGATTCTTTCACGTGTAAATATTTTAAAACGGTTCGTTATAAAAGAACAATTCTCAGGGGAATGTCATGTGGTCTGTAAAGGGCAATTTGCATACGAAGCTAAAAAGGTCTAGTAAAGTGTGTAATATAAATTTACCTTGGAAAATAGAGTTGTAAGAAGGAGAGGAGCTTTCTTCGTATTTCCATGTCAGTTTTTTTTCTTTTTGGTTAAAGGTGGATTCACTAAGTCTGAGCTTCAGTCTCTCTCCGGGGAGCATGTTTCAGTGATTACTCCAGAGGCCATCAGAAGTATGCCGCCAAGTTTGTTTGCTGTAAGTAGAACTAAGCACCATTCTTTAAAAAAATACAGTTGATTTAATTCTGTTATATCGTTTACATTCTGATCCCATTCGTATTTGATCTTTTCTTAATGGAGGTCTTGTCAAATTGGACCTTAAAATCTGTGGTACTTTTCGATGTTATACTGGCGACCAGCGAAAAGTGTGTATATTCGCTTTCACCTGTAAACTGCGAGGTTTTTCTTCCTTCGACTTCTCGTTGCTTTTTTTCCTCCAAAAAATCGAGAACCTCTAAATTCCCAACTCTTCTCCACTACTTGAAAGATTTTATCATTTGTTTGCCTTGTCAGGGTTTCACTGAGACTCAATTGCAGCATCTTGATTACAACCAAGCAGCAGCGGTCACAAATGAACAAATGCAGGCTCTTCCAGAAAACTTGAGGAATATTCTTAAAGTCAAAACTGGATCCATCAAGCCTGACAGTTCAGGTGTGTCAATATTGGGATTCCTGTGTATATGTTAAGAATAAAACCCCGGATGTTGTCCGGTTTTGACCATGTCTCTTATCTCTCTGTCCCTGTCCTTGAAACATCAGGTGCCAGTCATACAAAATAGGAGAAGGGTTCAATATAATGAGCGACTGACCTATTTGCCTTTAATGTCAAACAAAAGATGTCCAAAAATTCGATGCTAACCTTACCGTGATGCTTTGGTTTCTTCAACCTTTCCCAACATGCCTTGCGGAGGATATTGAATAGGTTTTTCTTGGTATTTTCTGTTTTAGGTGGTGCACAGACGTACATCAGTCAAGTGTTGAACATCGCTATCATACTTACCACAGTGATTGTGATAAACAATTGAATATGCAAGAAATATCTCGGCGCATGATGGTATCTACGAGTCCCACACATCACATCTGTAACGCTATACAGGCAGATAAAGTAGCTTAGCGACACATTTTGCACGAACATTTTTTTATCAAGATTAAATGAAGGTTATAATGCTCCGCAACCAATGCTCGGTAAGTGAAGTCTGATTGAGAACGCTCGCCGAGTAATCCATGCGTTTAGATGGAACCTTGGCGAAGAGTCGTCGCTACGTACATATTCGGAGACTTAAGAACTCGGCAAAGATTCGTCGTCCTAGTATATTTGGTGCACAGTTCACGTTGCACGATCGATAAACTCTCAGTAGAGGCTAAAAAAGGGAGACTTTATAATACAGAACATCCCAAGCATGGATCCAGGAGGGTGGGCTGGGTATTGAACCATTCTGGCCCCATGTAGTGGAAAAACTATAAGAACAAAATATAATTGTAAAATCTAAAGAAGAAGCTATTTGACGCCTTTGTAGACAAAAGCCACTCCTTTTTTTATAATAAAACACAACGAAGTAGTAGAACTACTGCACAGTAAAGAAAACGCTTGCTTATGGAAGCTGGCCTTTTTTCCAGTGCTTGTAAATGATGTTTAAATAAATGAAATAAAGTTTCACTAACACCGTCAGTGTCGGTTGGGTTTCCTCCATTTTCTGACTTACTCTCTCTACCTAAATTAAAGTGCCTATGACACCTAACTCAAAACTTTCAGCATTGATTCTAAATGAAGTAAATAGTTTAATGGTAAAATATTTTTATATGGTTTGAGAGATGCATCTTGGATATATCATAGTAATCAGTGTTTCGATTTCCATGTGATGGCAGATAAACTGAAATGCCTCCTTTGACGTCACGTTATTAACATATTGGGAGTATAAACCTTTAAGTGATTTTTAAAATTCCTATTTTAATCGAGAATGAGGGCTAAAATTAAGGACTATTTTTTTAACTATGACGAGCAATAATAGAAACGTTTTATATCTATATTCTATTATTTTTAATTCTGAAAAAAAACGAAGGAAAAAGAGCAGCAAAAGCGAGTAGGTATAATGTTTACGTCACCCATCCAAATCTAAACCCACCTCAGACGGGCTTGACCTGGCGTCTAAAATGCCCAAGTTTTTATCCACTGGACCACGGTTTCAGGTGAATCAGCATAACAATAGCCGTGAAAACAATGCACC